AGTAGGCTTGTGCTGAGTCTATGGAGTCAAGGAAACTCCTCAGGTAGTCATGGGGGAGTTGCTCTTAACTTGGGGAATGCTGTAGCCAAGCTCAAGCAGGTCACCTGTAAGAAATGGGTCTCTGAAGTTTGCCAGGTTGCCATCTCAAATTTCATTCATGATTTCACCAGGCAGTGAAAGCACAATAAGACTTCAGGATTTGAGTGTCAGAGTGACCTTGTAATCCTCCTCTAGGTGGTCTGTGGGGGTGCAGGGTGATAAAGGGTGTCTCCTGGGCCTGGAGGGATGCAAGGGGGCAGGCACTCTGATGACAAGAGAGTTTTGCCAGTAACTGCTGTTCTTGGATATACAGTGTCCGTATACATCTCTAAAGCCTGTCTTCCTTCCCCTCTTCTTGGTGGCCTCTTAACCTCTTAGATTCAGTTGTTGGATAGGGTAACTGCATGAAAGATGGAAGTGAGGAATGAATGCATGCACAGCTTATCTCAAAGGAGTTACTAAGAGCTGGTTTTCATACATAGTCTCTAGAGAAATTTTCCTGCCTGCTATGGATCTCCACATGTCTGAAGGTTTGTGCTAGTTAGTATGTAGGGCATGGTTTTGTTAGGGTTTTTTGTGTCTGTTTTGTTTTAGTTTAAGGGTCATTTACAGCTTACAGTAATATTAAGCTTTACTGTATCACATCTATTCTGGACTCAGAAGCCTGGTGAACACTGGGAAGAGCACCTTAGGGCTGTTGTCCTGTAAGCACAGGCTGGTAAGTCTTCACTAGTGTTTTCTGATGGTTAGATAAAGGACAGCAAAATGATGGCATGACATCCTCCTTCACACTCTGCTGAGCCTGCAGATGAGAGTAAAGATGTACTGTTGTTTCCTTTAGTGGTTGCAAGGACTCTTATTAATTCTGCGTTAGGATGAGCTATTCAGATTTACTTACTGCAGCTCTTCTGCTCCCCTCCTCCCTTTCTTTAATTTAGTTCTGCTGGATCATGGTTTTAGCCATTCTGCTAAATTCTGGAGTTAGATACAGTACTTTTCAGAGGATGTTCAGCTCTCCAACATGAGGGCCAGTATCTCCAGTGTTAAACTAGTCCATATCTGGTGTTTTTCTCGTGAGAAAGGAGGTTTGTGAAGTGGATGCTGCACCAGCTATTGCAGACAGAGGACTTGCTTGCAGTTGTTGGAAAAGCTGGTCACCCGTGGGAAGTCTGTTTTGGCATTCAGCAAGTACTGCTGAGGTTCTGCTCATGATATGACTATTTACCTGTTTTGTTAAGGTATGTAGAAAGACAACAGATCTATAGTAGTATGTTTCTCTTCTGGAGAAATGCAGTCTAACAGAGAGAACAGCACAGAAGTTACACTCAGACTGCATTAGGTTTGAAATCAGTTCACAGAGGAGCAGGAGTGCAAGGTGAACAAGTATTGGTGACTTATCTTCATTTTTTGTGGTATTTTTGCTTCACAGAAGAGGGGAATACTGCAACAGTAAGATTAAATGCAAAGCCATCTGAAAAAATCTTCACTATAAGGGCACTGAGGCCCTGGCAGAGGTTGCCCAGAGAAGCTGTGGCTGCCCCAACTCTGGCAGTGTTCAAGGCCAGGTTGGAAGGGGCTTGGAGCAATCTGTTCAAGTGGAAGGTGTCCCTGCCTGTGTCAGGGGGTTGGAACTGGATGAGCTTTAAGGTCCCTTCCTGCCCAAACCAGTCTAGGATGCTATGATGGCGTTTAGCTGATGCAAAGTTACATGGCCACTGGGTGGGAGCATTCTCCTTCCAAGCCGTTATAGTTCTCTTCAGAGAAAGAGAGGGGCAGAGCCTCCTCGAGATCGCTTCAGTCCTGTTGTGTGGGTGCACCTCCTGTCTGGTGCTCATGTCCTCCAACCAGTGTTGACCATTATCAGATCTCACAAACTCCTCTTGCTGCCTTGTGTTATTAATCCGGAGGGTTCCTGGAATTTTGCCGAGTTAAAGCTGCTGTTTTGCCAACTGCTGCAAGGTTTCTGGTGAATGAACGTATTTCTTTAGGGTCTGGGGTTGAAAATTGCTAAATTCATGCCACTGAGTGTTTCAGTACAATGTAGCCCTAACTATTTTTGATAAAAGGTTTCAGTGAAATAAACCCAAAGATGTGCATGGTGCAGCAAATGAAACCTCCAGCTGCTTAAACAGATCAATAAACTGATTTGTGTTTGCTGACCAGAAGAAAAATCTAATTGCAGGTACTCCATAGTCAATGTTTGTGGGGAAACTAGAGTAACTGCAATAATCAGAAATCCAGTTTGCTTTTGTTTGGAGTTTATTCTTTAGGTTTCATTAAACTGGTCTGGTGCAATGCACAGCCCTCTCAAGGCTTGGGCTGGTTACGTATTCAAGGTCTCTACATCTTCAGACTGGTAAGCTCTTCATGGATTTCTTCATATTCTAAATTATCTCATTTGGCTTTTTTTAATATGAGTTAAAATGATTGAAGTAATACTGTTCCTGGTGTTCAGAGGTTTGTTCCACCTTCCAGAATCTCCTGCTCTGTGTTGGCCAGCCATTAGTTGACTGAAGTTTGAATGCATCTGAACATCAAAAATAGCTCTGAGGTTGCCCCAGGTTCCAAATCTGTGCAGTTACTAACATCTGCAAGAGGAAATAATGCTTTCCTGCATGTTCTGAAGATAGGCTTCCAGGAAAAGTATTGTGTCAGTCCTCAAGTATTTCTCACCTGAGTGCATCTCTTACATCTCCTTGGATTTAGGTAACAAAGAGAGGATGGAGATCCTGCCATGACTGTATCTCCATGAGTGACAATATTCAGAAAGGTAAAAGAGTTTAGATAGAAGGGAAAAAATACACAGGAAAAACAGTACAGTTGGAGTCTTGGGAATCTGTTTTCTCCATTTGAGTGGGACAAAAGCTGTCTCAAGGTGTCACAGTCGTCTCAATTACTGGTAGCAGTAATGAAGATGAAGAAGTCAAGAGTTCTTGAAAAGCTACTAAAGGAGAGTAGAATTGTCACCAGCTTTTATTATCACTTTGAATTAAAGTTGGTAAATTGGGTAGACATTAGCTTGGACGTCTCATTAGTGTTATTTCTAGAGCAGAAAATGAGTCCTCTATGAAGGAAATGGACTGGGATGAGCTTTGTCTGCAAGGAGGAGGACAAGGAAAGAAGTGATTGGAAGTTAATGAGGTGTAGACAGGTCATGATGACTTTAATGAGTTTAACTGTGTGAATAGCTGATAACTTAAATGAGTCTCAAAAAAGGCTACAGAAAATTGTGTTTTTAAAGTATTTGAAGGCAAGCCTGGTGAAAGCTGAGGGAAAACCTCTTGTAGCTGGATTTCGTTTGGATCTGTCTGTCTGTGGAAGAGAGAATCCAAAGGTCATCTGTAACTAGAGATCCGGAGTTTAAAAGGAACATGATGTGTTGACCTGCTGATGGACATATGGAATGACTCTGGTATTATCTGAGATTATGCCAATGAAGACCGAGCTCCACAAATTGATGCCCTTCACCGTTATTTAACAAAGAAGCCTTACCCAGAAATGTGGTAGGAAGCCAGTAGCTTGAAATGGGATTTTTATCTCCCTGTGGCAGAGGCATATTTTGCTTTTTTTTTTGGATGTATTGCTATCAATAGCATAACCAAAGAGTTACACCATTTATAACACAGACCAGTATGTTCATTGAAAATTTTCAACGTTATTGTGGTTTTTGCTACATTTGGAAATGGTTTTTGTTATTTTGTTTATCCTCTGTATAAACAAACACTTTAACAAGTCTCTGATCAAAGATTGTCCTGGTTCTGTTCTAACAAGCGCCTGTTTTTTCCTTACCATTCATGTCAAGATGCATTTCATCAGCAAAAAAAAACTGATTTAAGGCTGGTCATGACAAACTATATGTGAAAGCAGTAGACAGAAAAGCTAGAATTTTAAGAAATCTTTGCGTTAGCTGATTTTATTCTTGACAGGGAGAGGGAAGTGGATTTTGGATGTGGTTTCACAGTGCAGAACTGGTGTCTGATCCGTAGAAGGCTGTGCTTCCTCTCCTGAGCACCCTGGCTCGAAGTATTTCCATCTCTACCCTGAATGCATTCAAGGAACATTTATAGGTTTTTATTCATATACCAGGATTTTCTTTCAGTTCATATCATCAGTTCATATCATCTTCACTCTCTTCTCTTGCATAGTTACATCCCATTTTAGCTGAGCATGCCAGGCTGATTTAGTCATTGCTTTAAAAGAAGCACTTCCTGCAACCTTTTTATCCTAGCAGGTGGTTACTTGGCTAGAAGTTACTGCTGGAGAGGTGTTTGAGTCTGGGGTTGACCAAGACTGCGTGTGTGTCTGTGCACATCCATGTGTAGGTGTATGTAGGCTTGAGGCACCTGGGAAGACCTCTGAGATCCAGGGTAATCTGAGTGCCCAAACCCAGCTGCTGGAGGCATCCATGCTCCACCTATGCACATGTAGACATTCCCCCTAACTCAGCCTCTCCCCCTAACAGTCTCTTGAAGATAGTGTGTCTCATTCTGAAGACACAACTCATTCTTCTCATCCTGAAATCATTCATGTGACTTCTTGTCAGGGACTGTAGTGACAGGACAAGGGATGATGGGTTAAAACTTAAAACAGGGAAAGTTCACGTTAGGTATAAGGAAGAAGTTCTTTCCTGTGAGGGTACTGAGGCCCTGGCACTGGTTGCCCAGAGAAGCTGTGGCTGCCCCATCCCTGGCAGTGTTCAAGGCCAGGCTGGACAGGGCTTGGAGCAACCTGGTCTAGTGGAAGGTGTCCCTGCCTGTGGTGGGGGTTGGAACTGGATGGGCTTTAAGGTCTCTTCCAACCCAAACCAGTTTGGGATTCTCCTTGGACAGATAGTGTTGGTCACAACTTGGAAGATTTGAGAATAAAAGACAGCAAAAGCACCTTTTGGGCATGGGAAGAATTAATTAATCAGCAAAGCTATGCCGGGATGTTTCATTGTAATAATCTCTTTTGTGTTTCAGCCCTGGCCCAGTGTTTCCAACCTGGCCAAGGATTTCATTGATCGTCTACTCACGGTGGACCCCAGTGACAGGATGACAGCCCTTCAGGCACTGAAGCACCCATGGGTGGTCAGCATGGCAGCCTCTTCCTCCATGAAGAACCTACACCGTTCCATCTCGCAGAACCTTCTCAAGAGGGCGTCTTCCCGCTGCCAGAGCACCAAGTCCGCCCAGTCCACCCGCTCCAGCCGCTCCACCAAATCCAACAAGTCACGGCGGGTTCGGGAGCGGGAGCTGCGTGAGCTCAACCTGCGCTACCAGCAGCAGTACACTGGCTGAGCACTGGGCTGGGACCTGCCAGGCATCTTCACACATGTCTTCTCTGCAGTGTAGGTGTGCAGCATCCACACACTCAATGAGGAACATCTAGGTTCCTTCTTCTCTCCCTCCAGGTGTCCCCCGCCATGAGGAGGTGTCCTTACCATGAGGAACCTCGTCATGGCTATTACCCTGCAAGCTGTGCCACAGGGGTCTCGTGTCTGAAACGGGGGAGCCCTTGTGGATCAGAGCACAACTCAAGAGTCTCAAGTAATACACAAATTAAGGAGCCACATAGGGAGAAAAGCTCATTCTGTAGTCCAGGAGCTTGGTTGTTCATAGTTATTTATTAATTCCAGAGCATTAAGTTTCTCTCGCATATAAAAAAGGAAGGAATCACTTTTAAGTGGATGCACACACACCTTAAGTGTGTGCACAGACACGTGTGGGTGTGTATCTGGTTTGAAAATGATACATACACAGAGTTGGAGCAGGTTTAGTTGGATCTGTGGTGCCTTGGTAGTGAGGCTGTTACGAATCATAGCATCAGAAGTAGGATAGCTCTGATTCACTAGTGTGCTGCACACCAACTCCTCGCTGAAGTGATGCCAGTTTTCTGGGATGTCTGGGAAGCTGTGAGGTTTCTCCAAGGGCTGCCATCCACTCACAGCATTGAGGGATTACTGGAGCTGCACCAGAACTGCTGTGCAATTTGGGAACAAGGCTGAAATGCTGTGAGCTCGGAGCTTAGAGTCTGGCTCCTTGGATCTGGACAAGGGGTGCTACTGGTGGAAGGGTGGGAAGATGATCATTGTCCTGCAGGAACTTAATGGTACACAGAGAGATGTCTTTGGCAAGGCAGGATTTTGGGGGGTTCCTTGCTGTCTCTCTTGAATTAGCCCTCCCATATTTGCATCAAGAACAGTGCCTCCCAGGCAGGGTTTGTTCTTGCCGTGACCTGCCCCTGTCACATGTGTTTTTTGCCCCTAACACCAGCATTACCAACTGTGTCACTTCACCAAAGCTTTAGTGGTTCCAGGTCTTGCTCTCTGCAGGTTTTACAAGGCTCCCCTGCTTGCATGCCTACTTTGCCCTGGTACTGCTGTCCCTCCTCTGGGACAGTGAAGTGGTGGTGGGAGATGTTGGGATAGCCATAGATGGCTCCATAGCATCAGGGTAGGGGTTTGAGTATTGGAGGCCCAGTCCTGGAGTGTCAGCAGTGACAATACCCTGGAGATACTATGTTAACACTTTAGATCTGCTGGGGGGTGACTTAAATTCAACAGGAAAAAAGCTGCCTTTCAGTTTTCTTGGGCTGTGTGTCCGCTGTGGGGGCCTCTTGTGAAGGACCTTGCAGGGGAGGTGGGAGCTTTAGAGCTGAGCTTTGTGCAAGCCTGCTGAGATACCTCCCCAACTAGTTAGAGCAGTACATTGGGGCTGATGGCACAGTGTCAGGGTAGATTTGGCCTCTTGTGGTAGCAGATACAAGACATGCAGTGAAGGAGAATGTTGGCTTGGAAACTTTTCATATGAAACCCTACAGTTTGCTTTATGCTGTGCACTTGGAAGTGCTTGCTTGGCTCTGAGCTGGAGATACAGGCTATGCAAGCTCAAGGGCTGGTGAGCATGGCCTCTCCACCCAAGACTGATGTCTGTGCCACCACATTTTACTGTCAGCAAGGTTTTAAGTGGTTGCTCACAGGGAGCTTCAAAAGCAGCTCAACCTCAGTGGGGGAAAATTGAGTTTGCTGTGCTAAGATGGGCTATAACCACTGTGAGCGCAGCCTGTGAGCCTAGGTGATGGGGAATACAGCAGAGGACACCTGAGAACAGGAGGTGTGTGTAGCAGTGGTGAATTCCAAATCCTTTGCATGGTTTTGCGTATTATTCTTAGAACTGTGCATCCTTTGCAGGCTGCCCTTTCTCTGAGTAGCTATCCTATGCATGGTCTTTCTTCCATCAGCTTTAGCAGATACCACAGAATTACCTAAAATTGGGGAGGTTTTTCAGCTCTGTGGATTGCAAAAAAAAAAAAAATTCTTCAGCTTCTTTTACCTTCTCGCATAGTTTTTCCTTGGTCATTATTATGAACTGTAAGCTGGATGTGATTTCTGATACCTGGCAAAACAGGCAGCTTGCCTTGTCTTGTTTCATAAACAATTCAGTGCCCCTCAAGATGACTCTCCAAAAGCAGCAACCATGCTACAACAAGTAGCAACTGGAAAATTCTTCTTTCCCTGTATGTTAAGAGATGACAGGATGCTCCCAGAGGGCTTTGAGCTTATAAGAGTCTTGGAGCATCTCACAGGCACTGTGCTCCCTTTTGCCTCCTGGGTACTCTCAAGGCCATCCCCAGATTATTTTACACCATGTGTAGCCTTAAAAGAGGTGTTTTGCCTGTATGAGGTCAAAGTGATGAACTGAGCCAAGACCTCTAGAACCTGAGACCCTTCCCTTTAACCATTAGGCTAACCAAAATGCACAGGCATTGTACAGGTGTCTGCCCATACTGCTCCTTCATGTGTTCTCTTGTGGGGTGGGATCCATGAAGATGGAGATGAGGTCAGGATGTTGAGTTCTGCTTTGACCATGCTTGTTTCTCCACCTTCACAAACAGAAGAAGAATCTCATCTGTGTCAGTTCTTGCTTTGTTGCTCTTTTCAGCAGTTGGTGGAAGGAGGAGTTCACAGTGATGTCACTGGAGGTGATTTTGGGGTGGAATATGTTTTGGGAAGCACGATATTGCTATGTAGCTTCCTAACAGTGTCAAGTCATCAAGTGATGATGGTCTAGGACTGGGAAGTGAATTGGCAGAAGGGAGGATCCTTCACTGACAGGAGCAATACTGGAGAGCTGCAACCCATCTTCTTGAGATGTGGAGATGTTTGTGGTCCTCAGGCATGCCTCTGCTAGGGAACTGCACCAAAGAGGACCAAGTCTATCCCATAGGGGGCTTTGACTTTTATATAAAGATAACTCTAATTCTCTTGACAAATGCAATGTATTCTTATTTGCATGGAAAAATCAATATAAACATAGGGAAAATCTGTATGGGCTTTCCTTAGATCATTTTATTATAACACTCCTGTCTCAATCCCTCTTCTTTTTCTAAATTCAGCATTTTCAGGACCTCTTGTACCCAGACAATGACATGTGTGGTCAGAGGTGCACTAGCAGAGCTCCATCCAACTGACCCTTGGAGTCCTTGGTGATCTTTCTGTTTTCACTCTATCTGCAAAGCTGGAGTGGTCCAAATGCTGTCCAGCTTAAGGGCAATTTTTCTGGTGCTTGTACCCGTGCAGTTGTGGCACATTTGCAGCTGGATCGGAGGAGGCGCACACAGGCAAAGTGCTGTGATTTTGAGCCATAGTTCAAGTGCCTTCAGTCTTCTTCTAAGAAGCTCTTCACTGTGAATTACCTTGGTCATCTGTTTTCCATATATATTCCACAGGAGCATCTCAGTGCTCGGCTTATCTCAAGTCTCAGGAGTTTACGCTTTTCAGGAGTGCCTTGTTTGGGGATTTTAGAAGCTAAAATCTGATGTGATTTTTTTTTTCCTGCTCTTCTGTTAATTTTTAAATCTCCTTGTTTGGCTCTTAATGGTGGCTCTGATTTGACTGGCAGGGTTTTGGGGAAGACTTCCTCTGCTGCTGAATTAGCTGTGAGGAGTCAGGTAACAAACAGATGTTCCAGCCCCTTAGCTGGGGAACTAAGCTTCATCTTAGCTGGGGTGCAGATCTCCTGACTGCTTTTGTTTATGCAATGAAAATGAAGCTGGAATGACACCTAGTGGCAAACTGTATTGTGTCCATGTACAGCCCTCTCCTGGTTTCCTTCCTCAGTTCCTGGGTGACATGCTCTTACAAAGAGAACTCTGGGTTTGGTGTGCTGAGTGATGGTCATGGACCACACCTGCAGTACTTATGTTCAGCAACCTTCTCAGCATGGCACAGTTTTATCCTGAAGTGATACAGTGATCCTGAAGAGCAATTAGACAACACAGGGGTGAGCATGTGCACCCACTGGAGCTTATCATCCCCCGGTGTCTCAAGGAGATGCTCACCAGCACCCTGCCCTGGGGAGGCATCTTGAGGGACACTAAGAGAAAGAAAAACCTAAAGATACCAAGGCTGGAATCACTAGGTTTGGGACTTTCTCCCATCATGAGACACTATGGTGCAGCTCAGGGTGTTGCTTTCCAGCATATTCTATTTCAGGGGAATGCGGTTGTAAGTAGTAGAGGGAATGACGGTTGGTTGTCTTTTGGAACTTAGCAGTACTGTGTAAGACATCCCCATCGTTTTGCCCTGGGAGTTTGGCTGCTTTCTTGGGGGAGAAATTTATGGCTTCAAAGCATGTGGCCTGTCAGATGCATGTTTTTTATATACTTTTTTTTTAAGGGTTATTGGAAAGGAATGTGGAAAGGGCTTCCAGAAATAACATTAGGTGGTCTGCAGCCTTACATTCATGTATTTTTCTTTGCATTTTACTAAAACAGCAGTTACTTGTTCATGTTTGATTTACTTCTCACCCTTCTCAGGCTTCTAAAAACCTAACATGTCAACCAAGTGGTGGTAGAAACCTCCGTTTCTTCAACCCAAGGGAAGTCTGTGCTATTTGACACTGAGCTTGTGAGCATCCAGAGGCTCCTGCCAGTCCCTGGACTGCATTGTTCTTGGAAATGCACAACTGGATGTGAAGGCTTTATAGCCATGATTGGAGTGCAAGGGCTCTGACCTGGCTTTGGTAGTGTTGTGGAAACCAGCTGCAGGGTGGGGACTCTGTTACAGATTTATGTTGAAAATTATAAACCCTCAAACTCTTAACTTCTTTGGAATTTGTTTATTTTTTCCTTGTAGTCTTTTCTACTTCGGTAATTTACTGCTCAGTTTCTCAGTCCTGTTTTTCTATGTGGATGTTTGGCTGAAGTACTAATAAGGTCAACTTTGATGCAATGCACAAGCTGGAATAGGAGGCATGGGCAATGTGACCACTTGGCAGCAGCTCTGGATTTGGCTCTGCAGGAGCCATGGTGAGTCCTGGAGTGAGATAAAAGCAGCTGTACAGTGTCCTGCAGGTGTGAGAAGGCTCTCTTTGGGGGCCCTACAGCGCAGGCTTAGCAAAAGATGTTCTTGTACAACACAGGTCAACTAGTGTGTGGCTGTTAATAAGCCTCTTATTAGACTGCATGGGACCATATTCTTATTTCAAGTGATGATACTAAAGATTTGGAGGGTTTGAGGTGGGTTAAATTGAAATCTCAAATGTTTGACTTAATTCAGTTTTCTAAATGAAAGAGAGATTGGCTTTTTTTGGGGGGGAATCACACCCTCTGGAGGAGTTGGCAGCCTGTTGTCTGGCAGCAGCGGGAGCCCTGGGACTTGCAGGAAGGGTGATTCTGTTCTGGCCTCTCACCAGCTTGGCTTTATCCTGGAAAATACCACAAAGTGCCTGTGCCACTTAGTGCCAGATGCCAAGTTGCCTACACCACTCTGGGGAGGTTTTTGGTGCTTTTTTTGACTGCTCAGTGTCCTGTTTGAGCCTGGACAAAGATCACAGCTCCCGGGTGCTCCAGAGGCAGGTGCCTGCAGGTCACTTGTGCTTTACTGTGCAGTGTATTTGCCACAAAAAGAAATGTGAAGCAGAAGGATGCATGGTGGCAAAAGCATCATGGAGCTTGGTACCTTCCACCCTTGGTGTCCCTTCAGGGGAGGGAGCTCTGCCTGCATGAGGGCAGCTCTTTCTTCTCCCACTATGCTCCCCTGTGTGGTGATTCCATGGGTCCCTCGTGTGTGATGTGACTGTTGTACTGTGTTTGTCTGCTGAATGTGGAAGGGATCTGTGGCCCTGGCCAGGTGGGTTGGGAATGAGGAACTCCTGTGTGGATGCCCAGATGCCATGAGTTTTCCTGTTGCCTTTCACTACGGAAAGACACCTCCCAGGACACTGTTAGGCTGGAGATCTGCCAGCACTCACTGTTATTTTTGGTTGCTGAATTTCCGGTACTGGCTTGAAATGATTTGGAAGTAATTCTGGTCGCATCCTGTTCATCTCCTTAAAGGGCTGTTTTGAGCAGCATCCAGTTCTGTGACATGCCTTTTGAATCTTTACCCTGAAAACTGTCTTGTTAGGATGAAGTCTGAACCTTTGTAATTAATCTGTAACGTTACAATTAGTGTGTACAGAATTATTTATTTTGTGTACTCGGTCTGCTAAACATGGAAGTGTATCTGTGTACCCCATCGCCCTGCTGTCATTACATCTGCCTCCTAGAACCAGAAACTAGGTTGGAAAGGACCTTTAAGATCATCAAGTCCAACTGTTCCCCAGCACTGCCAAGGCCACCACTGAACCATGTCACTGAGGGCGTCATCTACACGGTGTGTGGACACTTCCAGGGATGGTGACTCCACCACTGCCCTGGGCAGCCTGTTCCAATGCCTGAGCACCTTCTGGGGAAGAAATTGTTCCAAACATCCAGTCTAAACCACCCCTGGTGCAGCTTGGGGCTTGTCCTATCCCTTGTTCCTTGGGAGCAGAGACCAGCCACCTCCTGGCTCCATCCTTCTGCCAGGCAGTTGCAGAGAGCGATAAGGTCTTCCTGAGCATTCTCTTCTCCAGACTAAACGCCCCCCAGGTCCCTCAGCCATTCCCCATCACACCTGTGCTCCAGGCCCTTCACCAGCTCTGGTGCCCTTCTCTGGACCTGCTCCAGCACCTCAATGTCTCTCTTGTACTGAGAGGCCCAGAACTGAACACAGGATTCAAGTATCCATGGGTTACCACGGGCTGATTTGCTGCAAGGAGCCACTTTGTGGGCTGTGAACGATGGTCTGGAAAGGCAGGAAGGAACTGCTCAGCCCTCTAGTACGTTGCACAGCAAGAAGGTATCAGAGAGCCCATAAAAGAGTTTGCTGGGGTCTTAATTGCAGCAGCCTCAGAAGGTGCCTAAGGGAGACCTGGTATGGGGCTGGGATGTCTACAGGGATGCTCTGGGGGAATCGGGTGCTCAGCCTCTTGCTGGAAGGCAGGGTTTGGAGGCTGAGCAGGCACCTGGGGACAATTCCTCCCCTCTTCTTTGGCTTGCAAGGTGGCAAACTGGGCCAGTGGAATACCCTGGGTCACCCCCAGCAACTTGTCATCTCTCCAATTCCACCCTGAGCAGCTTCTGGGGACCAACAGGGAAACCTGCCACACCAGTGAAAAATGCACACCCCTTTTGAACCATCCCCTCCTGGAAAGGTGAGTTCTCAGGAGCAAGGGACCCCATCCCAGCAGGGGTGTGGGGGGGGTGACATTGGCAGAGGTTTTATATCACATTCACATCACTGTTAAAAAAACACCCTCTGCCTCACTCTGGGACGGTCTGATCCTGCTCTTCTGGACCAGCTCTATTTTGAGCTGCCAGGAACCAGGTTTCCCTTGGTGTGTGTTCCCATGTAAATTATGGGTCTAAATAGCAAGCAGGGAACTTTTAAGACCTTGTGCACACACCAGCACCCACCTCCCGTGGCAAGAGGAGCTGTAGCTCCACAGGCCCTTTCCTGGTAGGACTGTGTGGTGCTGGAGACCCTGCGCCTGGATCAGTGAAGAACCATCACAGGCACTTCACCCACCCTCAGTGCTGGGGTGGTCTCTGGGCTGGTGCTGCCATGAGCAGCCCTTGAGCTGCATCCAGCCCTGCTCCCCCTCTGCCTGGGCATCGTGTCCTGGCTTCCCCCCTTTCCAGCAGGTCCCAGGTGTCACCAAGCTCCAGCTCTGAGAAGTGTTGAGCTTCAGGAGAGGAGCAGAGGGTATCCCAGGCTCCCTGTGGTCTGCATCATGAGAGGAAAGGAGCCAGAGGCAGTGCTGGAGAATGCTGACGCTTTATTCCAAAGCGGATTGCTTTGCTCCCAGCCCTGCTGAGCTCCCTGTGCTGGGAGCAGCCACCAGTGACGGGATCCATCCACCACCGGCTCTAAGCTTGAATAACGTTGTTGATCCAGTTTCGGAAGTGGCTTACACGGGTGTAGGCAGCTGGTGTGTTGACATTGCAGTTGCTGCTGCCCCAGGAGACAATGCCAATTAAGGTCCAGAGGCTCCCATCCTGGTATACCAGAGGTCCACCAGAGTCACCCTGCAGAGAAGACACCTCCAGCTTAGTGGTCCTACCACATGCTCCAAACTGGTCCTTGCCAGCCCCAGGCACCTGCTCCCCTGGACATGGAGCTCCATGTCTCTGGCCCTGCCCATACAAGGATGAGGAGGAGGAGCCCATGTGTCCTCTTCCTCTGGCCTCCCTGTGCTCAGCAGGAGCAGCTCCTTACCTGGCAGGATGAGGCACCGACGCCACCAGCACAGACCATGGAGCTGGTGATCTTGCTTCCCCAGTACTCTGCACACTCGCTGGAGGAGATCAAGGGCAGGGATACCTGCTGTAGGCTCTCTGCCAGCACGTAGGCTATGGGAAAGAAGCACCATAAAACACCCTGGTGTCAGCAGCTCTTCTGGGGCCTTTGGGAGTGTACAAGGCACCCTGGGCAGCTCCTGAACACACAGGTGCTGCCATGCAAAGCGCCTTTCCGTCCATGCCAACATATTCCTTCTTCCCAAGAAAATGCCCCATCCCTGGCAGTGTTCAAGGCCAGGTTGGAGGGGGCTTGGAGCAACCTGGTCTAGTGGAAGGTGTTCCTGCCCATGGCACAGGGTTGGAACTGCATGAGCTTTAAGGTCTCTTCCAACACGAATCAATCTGTGATTCCACGATTCCCCAGGAGAGATCATCTTGGCCAGACAGCCCTGAACAAGGGCAGGCTTGTGCCCATTCTCAGTTTGCACCCATCCACGTCCTGAGCACACACACCTACACCCGTGCTTGCACCACCGCACACGTATTCACACTTGTACGTGACAAGACAGGGTCACACACTGCCCAGCTCCCCTACCCCATGTGCAGACAAGGTGTCATCCCCCAAAGGTGCCACCAAGCACACTTAGACCATGCAGGGCCCTCCCCAAAGCTGCAGTTATTTACAGTTGACACTGGTGCGTCCCCAGCCGGTGGTGACACACTGGAGGTTGTCGGGCAGATGCAGGTCAGGGGGGGGCAGGCAGACAGGGGACACACGGGGTCCCAGCTTGGCAGGTGAGGCGAGCTTCAGCAGGGCGATGTCATTGCTCAGGGTGTACGGGTTCCAGTTGGGATTCGTGACGACCTGCCAAAAAATACCAGAATGTGAGAGGGGCTTTGGACAAGGGCCTGTAGGGAGAGGACAAGGGGGAATGGCTTTAACCTGACAGAGGGGACACTGAGATGAGATCTTAGGCAGAAGTTCTTCCCTGTGAGGGTGCTGAGGCCCTGGCACAGGTTGCCCAGAGAAGCTGTGGCTGCCCCATCCCTGGCAGTGTTCAAGGCCAGCTTGGACGGGGCTTGAAGCAACCTGCTCTAGTGGAAGGTGTCCCTGCCCGTGGTGGAGGTTGGAACTGGATGGGCTTTAAGGTCTCTTCCAACCCAAACCAGTCTGGGATTCTGATTAATCCCTGCCCTCCAAGAGCAGCTATTTTGCAGAACTGCAGCCCCATCCCAGCACCAGGGCTGCCCAGCTCACCCTGACCACATTCTTCACTTGAACAGAGTCAGCCCTGGAGGTGCGGTCATATCCCCCGAGGACGACGACATGGAAGAGTGGCCTGTGAGAGGTAAGAGGGTCAGTGGGACACATGGCAGCCAGCACCTGGGGTGGGAGCAGTGCTGGGAACATGCTGCACTGAGTGCCCAAGGGAAGCCACCGTGGGGACAGTCTAGGGGGAAGCCCCTGGCTGCTCAGTTCCTTGGGTGCTGGCCTTAAGGGCTGTCCCAACTGCCACTCAGTGATGCCCAGCACGACCCAAGCCCCTCGTGGCACCAGCATGGGCTGCTGGACATTGCTCCTCACTTGAATTCGCAGTGGGCAGCGGTGACAACCCAGTTCTCGTTGATTAAGGAGCCACCACAGAAGTGGGATCCGAAGCGGTTCTGGGGAGGAAAGAAGGAGGAAGAGCTAGGGCTGGGCAGGCTGAGTTCCCTCCTGAAGTGGGGGACACGCAGAGGGTGTCACAGGGCCTCTTGGTGCCTGGAGGAGTCAATGCAGTACCTGCAGGGAGACCTGCCAGGGCCATGATCCAGGCACTGCATTCTGCCCATTGATGATCCTCTCGGTGTGGTGGAGCAAGGGGCTGATGCTGGGCTCCCCACAGCCTGTGGGAGAAGCAGATGGGCATAGGGGTGACCCCAAAAGCTCAGGGCTCACACATAGGGGCCGCCTGTGCAGGTGCAAGTGGCTCTATGTCACCATCCCTGGGGTGCCTCGGTCCTCCCCACACCTGTCAAAGCGCTTACCTGAGACCGTGCTGGCAAGGGCCAGGCAGGCAACTACCCACAGAAACGCCATCCTGGGAGGACTCGGCTGTGCCACTGAGGCCACCAGCTTTATAGCAGCCAGGAGCTGCGTGGCTTGTAACTGGGCAGGGTAAAGTCCCTGCTGTGGGGACCTGGCCAAACCTGGCACCTATCATTTCCCATGCAAGTGCAGACATGGGAACAAGCTGTCAAAAGCACTCTGGGGTGCTTGGGCTGTGATAGCTGTGTTTGTGCAGTGGAGCACTGCAGGGCAGTGCTGGGGGCACAGAGCTGGGGTGGCAGTGGGGCTGGGTGTGCTGGGACAGATGCCAGTGCCCAGGCTGGGGGAGGTTACCCCATCCCCTCCCCTGTTGACGTCTGCTGGCCCTAGAGCTCTTTTCCATGCAAGCCCTGGCCTGGGATAGCGCCGATCCCAGCTGGATGTTCCCAGGGCACAAGGACAGACCATGAGCCGTGGCTGGATGCAGGTGAGTGTGTCCCAGAGCCGGTGGGGCAGGTGGGGTGTGCAGACACCTTCCCAGGCAGGCAGCAGATGTGGCCAGAGCTGTAAAGACACTGCAAACCCCAGGGAGGATTGGAGCACCTACCCTGGACAGGGGAGTACACAGTGTCTCATCACCCCCGGGCTGATGCTGAGCACAGGAATGAATCCCCCTCTCCCTTCTGTGCCACCCATATGCCCTGTCCCTTGCCCTAGCGCACTGGGGAGCAGAGCCTGGATGCTGGTGAGTGATTGCTGAGCTCAGGCCTTTATTTCTGGCAATGGTGCCATGCAAGGAGAGCAGGATCTGGCCCGCCACAAGGCAGGAAATGTGGAGGTCCTACAGGGTGCTGCAGGGGCAGGATGCAGGAAGAGAGACAAGGCTTCGCTCCTGATCTCCACATGGCACCTGGGGAGGACATAACTGATGGCTGGACAGCAGTGGAAGATGGAGGAAGAGCCAGTGCCCAGGGCAGTGCTCAGTGCTGCCCATCATGAAGGAAGCTTGTGACAGGGGGATGCTGAACACCAACACAACAGTCTTGGACTCAAGTCCTGTCCTGGATGTTGGCAAAAGAGCCAGGCCAGGAGCTGGGCAGGTCAGAGGAACTCAGAGCTGTCCCTTCACACCAGCAGGGACAGGGTTGACAGCACTACCCCAGGTGCTGAGACCCCCCTGTGCCCTTCTCCTCTGCATCTGTGAGCCACAATGAGCTGGCTAAGCTGCTCTCCACTGTCCATGCAGGGCCCAGCCTGGTGGAGCAGCAACAGCAGACTTCTGGGTTGAGCCAAAACAGATCAAGTCATCCCATGGCTAAAACCCTCCTGCAAGCTTGGGTCTAGCAAGCCTCCAGCCTGCCTCAGAGCTGAGGTGGTAACAGACTCCATGGTGGGATGTGCTGGCTCAGAGATTTGGGGAAACCCAAATACCTCTAGCCCCACGGAGACGTGGACTAACCCCAGCTGCAGACTCCTGTCCTGTGCTCCGTGTCTCCTCTCTTTCCTGCAGGCAATAGGCCAACCCTGAACTCCTGCCCCAGCAGTTCGGCACAGCAGCTACAGGCTGGTTTTCTCCTGACCCGGATCTCCTGGGACTGGTGCTTGCAGCAGGGAACAATCAGCCCAGCAAGGCAGAGGAGGATGGCACATATCCAGACTATCTCCAACACAGGGCAAGGTGCTGTGTAGGGGATGCCATATGGCATCTCCACTCTTCCCTCATGCAGTCTTAGCAGTGTCCTGCACAGTCCGTATGCCTGTGGGGCAGTGGGAGCAGGCTGTGGGCACAGTGTCAGGCACACTTGCCCTTGCGAAGGCAGAAGGGCAGCTCCTGCATGGGGACCAGGATGGTGCTGAAGATGGGCCGGTAGCTCTCTGGCACGACCTGGGGATGCTGTGCCATCATGTCCAGCACCATGTGCCGCACCTCCTTGGAGACATCACCCCGGATATCCAGCAAGGTGGAGATGTGCTCATCGCTGCGAGAGAGCAAGAGGTGAGTCGGGTGCTGCTGTCTCGCGGCACTGTCCACAGTGTCCCACAAACCACCCATGATCCAGAGAAGCTGAGCTGAGCCCAGTGGAGAGTTGGTGCCTTGCACCAGACAAACTTTAAAGTTTACTTGAAAATAACCCCACAAACCTTATAGATTTGGTTTTGCCATTTCATGGGTTTCAGCTGATTCTGACATTTCCAATTTGGTGGTTTGTGATTGCTCACACTTGATTTGGCCACCAAATACAGGTAGGTGAGTGCCACAAGCAGAACTGCTTTTTCCTTTACATCTTTGCCCATGGGACTCTGCAAGAACCCCTCAAATCTGGAGCATGGGAAAGGGAAACCTCAGGAACAAGGGGAAAAAGCTCAGGTTGGGGCCTGCTCTGCAGCGTAACCTCCCAGGGTCCATCCCAAGCACCTGCCGTGGGCAGACTCACACCTTCCCCTTCTCACAGGAGGCCAGAGCCGGACTTTTACCTGACGTCAGGGTACTTGGTGATGAAGCCCAGCACCTCCAGGCTGAGCAGTGCTGGGTCTTTGAGACAGATAAGCTCCTGCAGGGCAAAGACGGCCTCCAGGCTCTGCTGATTCTGGTCCAGACCCTGGGAGGGAGAGCAGCCACATGTGGGACCACGACACCACCACAGTGGCCATGAGATGCCGCCCAGTCCTCAGTACCCACATGGGGACCTGCCCCTTCCACCTCCCCATTCAGCATGTCCCACTGTGCAGCCTCAGTGACCACCACTGGACAAGGTGGATGGTCCCCCGAGTCCCTGATCCAGCCAGTTCCTCCCGTCCTGGCCTCCCAACTGCCCAAGTGTAATAGCCATATCTTGTTCATGGGCTGATGCACCCAGCTCCATCCTAGAGGGCAGCAGGAGGGTGATGGAGTGGAGCTGTGAGCTCCCTGCACCGACCTCATTGTGTGGCCAGCCCCAGCTCCCCAGCACACCACAGCACCTCTCACCAGCCCGCAGAAGAGCTCGCGGAGCTGCATGGCATCCAGCAGCAGGCGGGCACAGAGCTGGCCCCGCTCCTCCTCACTTTTGCACACCACCTTCTTCTGCATGAGCGCCCGCAGGTACTGGCTGGCCACCAGCAGCTCGGTCTCCATCAGCAGGAGCTGGGCAGGGAGAGCTGTTAGCACTGGGCACCAACTGGGCGTCAATCCCAATGGCCCAGGGAAAGGCAGAGGAAAACGGATTGCATACAACACCAAGCCGTGAGGACAACCTGCTGGGAAGACCCCTGGCTGGAGGGACAGAGAAAGGAGCTGAATTTGGGGGAAACCCTGAAGACCTCTGCATGGCGGTGCCCTCCAGGCTGCTCCAGAGGATACAGGCTCTCCAGCAAACCCAGCAGTGACTGCATCCTCTGGGGATCCTGCACTCCAGTGTGGCACCCAGCCACCCACCCTCCTCACCCTACAGACAAAAGCCATTTGAAAGACACCCCACAGCAACTATACCATGAAGACGGGTCTCCTGACATGGGAGAAGTCCTTCGCATACTTGTCGATCACTTCACACATGCTGCTGACAAGCTGAGACCCCAAGAGCCACTTGCGGGAATGCAGCTGCAGGCAGAGGGGCTGGAAGAAGCAGAGGAGCAGCCTGTGGTGCTCTGCTTCCACTCACCCTCACAGCCACAGGGCACCTTGACATCCCACCATTGCTGCCTGCTCTGTCTGCAGTGTCCCCCCAGCCCCAGCTGCCAGCCAAAAGTCACCATCAAACTAGAGGAGTGCTCCAGATTAGGAAATAATGGAAACATACAGGGTCTTCCCCTCTCTCACACCCAGAGAGCCGCTGGTTAGGGCTTTATCTAGGTCCCAATGCCCCATCGTGAGCAGCACCCAATGTCTGGGCTGCAAGCTACTCCTTTTGGAGCTTTTGGCCTGACCTGCTGTGATTTTCTTCTTAATCCCCACTCCACTTCCCTTGTGTACACGTAACATGTTTATGGCCGAGGGCTTTGATCTTCTCCTACTCCTGCACCACTGTCCTTGCCTGTCCTCCTGCCTGCAGGCAGACATTTCCTCTGTGTCTGCTGGGGCCAGAGCAGTCTCTACTCTGCCTGCGAGCATTTCACCCTTTAGCTGCTCCTTTGTTTTCATGGCATTCGACCCCTAAATAGCAATGCCATTCATTATTCCAGATTTTAAGTCCAGGAAAGCTAAATGTGATTACGCTGGCAGGAAATGACTCAGGCAGCATATGGGCTCGTATCCTCTGCATGACATCGCCTCTCTCCTGTTGGTTTTCTGCCATGGAATAGACATCAAAAGGAGCACTGGGCAGCCGGGGGGGCTGTGGCTCCTAGTCTCTGTTGGAACGTGATTTGGGGGCCAGGAGACATTTGCCCCAGCGTGTCTGGTGACACATGGGTGAGCTGTGTGTGGTTATCAAGGTCTGGGAGACAGATGGTGGAGATGTCCGCAGGATGATAGCAGGGCAGGGGGTAGTGGTGGGGATGCTTGGCAGGAATGAACCCCACCCGGGGTTGTAGCTGTAGGGCTATTCTTGCTGGGGACTGGTTTGTTGCAGCCCTGCCAGCCTCTGTGGCTGTGGACAAATGTACCTGCAGGTCCAGGAGCAGCTCCTCCAGCAGCAGCTGGCAGGCCTTCTTCTGTGTCCTGTCAAAAGCAGCACGGAGGGACAAGGGGACTTCTCTGGAGGCAGTGTTGGGGTGCAGGGAGGAGACAGAGGAACTGGGAGAGAGAGCAGAAGGGAGGATACAGCTTCCTTTTGCGTGGTGGGATCACTATAAGAGCTACAAGGTGCTGGAGCACGTTACCTGAGAGCCAGGTTGTTGTTGAGTGTGGCTAGTAGGTAGGACATGTAGTATTTGGGTATGGAACGGTCCTTCTGGTGCTCCTTCCCACACTGCACTATGGCTTCCCGCAGCCTGCAACACAGTGAGTCAAACATGGATGGGCAGAGCTCTGGATGTCTCGCCGCAAAGACCTGGAGTCGGGGTGCTCCTGGGGGCATGTGGACGTCCACAACCCCCCCCAGCTTACATAGCTCTTTCCAGCTCCAGCCACCAGGTTGGAGAGTGACAGGTTACTGGGCAGGGTGGGAAACTGGACCCCCTTGGAAGAGGAGACTGGTGCTACCAGAGAAGCCCCTGGGGCAGCAAGCCCAGAGAGTTGATGCCCCATGAGGGCTGGGACAGTTGTTCCATGAGTAGGCAGGCTGCTGAGCCTTCTGTGACCTGGATGAGCACTGGGTGCTCTGCAGCAGATCTCCATCAGCCTATGATGCTTGGACATGGCACCCCAGGTTTGTGAGGATGGGCAGGGGTGTGAGTGACTCCACTGACCGGCCTAGAAATGCCTCAAGCTCCTCTAAGGCCATGTTGTAGACCTTCTGCTGCAGAGACTCAGTAATCAAGGAGGCTACCTGGATATTCTCTTTCAGCATCTGCAGAGGGAGAGGCAAGCGGAGTCAGTGAGAAGCTGGAGGCCATGACCCCCTTCCTGGCGGCTCTCATCATGGTCCTGCACCCACAGTGCTGCGGACCCACCTGCATGACAATGATGGGCAGGGCTGACTGGAAGAAGCCCTGATGGTCCGTCTCAGGTTCCTCTTCCCTGAA